CATCCTGGTAGAGTGCCATTTTGGCAGATGGCCTGGTTTGACAAAACACTGGGTTTCCCGGGCGAAGGACCCCCCTGGTCTCTGATCTCCGCCAATGTTGACTCTTTTGCAACAAATGCAAGTTGCTTACAATGGGATGCTGATGCCTTCCTCCTCCAAGAAGCTAGAATTGCGGAGTCCAACATGCTGGATGCCAAACGTAAAGCTGCGGTTTGTCAGTTTGAGCTTTACTGCTCTCAACCATTGCAGAAGCTCCGGGCCAGCAATGGGACGTTCAGAATTCCCTCCGGGGGTACAGCTACTTGTGCTCGCAAGGAATTCACACAAATTTTCCAAGACCATCAGGACCTGTCTGGCTCTTGGGAGCTTCTACGATGTACCGCACGAGTTACTGCCACTTGGCACCAGGTTTCCAGCGGGGTCAAGCTCTTAGCTTTCAACTTCTATGCAATTGCAAATGCGGCTTCTGAAAGGGCTAAGTTTGAAAGAAATAACGAGATGCTCCATCAACTTTTCACAGTTTCTGCGCAATTTGGAGACATTCCTATTGTCATAGCGGGAGATTTCCAGATGGAGCCAGGCATGTACCCTGCAGTCCAACTTGCCCTTGACAATTGGGGGTGGTCTGACCCCCTCCTCCAGACTGACGAGGCAGGTGGGCTTTTCCGTCCCCCAACCTTCTTCCAACATGCTGCCACTGAAGAAGGTGAGGGACAGTCATCTATTGACGGCATACTCATGAACAGGACCGCTCTCACTGCATTGGTGAAGATTGAGATCTTAGACTTTCCGGATCGTCAGCATCGGCCAGTACAAGCACACTTTGCTTGGTCACGAGCACAACAAATTGGAACGGTACTGCAGAACTTTGCCAAGCTAGATCTCGAACATGTTGTGACCGCCGATACTACAGATCCTGCCTGCCCTGTGAATTTACTTGGAGAACAGCTCTGGCGGCCATACCAGCTCGATTTTGAGACTGCCACCAATCCGGATCGAAAGTGGGAGATTTTCAACGAGTATGCAATCAAGCTTCTGCTAGTCAATGGTGCACAATGGTCTAAAGGCACACGACAACGAGGCCAGCTACCCAAATTCCGCAAGCTCAACTACTGTGCTGCCCAAGAAGGTGCCGGGAATCCAGCCTCGCCACTTCTCCTCCTTCTTCAAGCCAGTCTGAGATCCCTACGTGAATTGGCGTTTAGATTCGCAAGATCAACCACTGGACAGGGTGATGCACGCACCTTCTTCTACACACAACGTCGTGTCCTACGTAGACTGAAGGAGGCAAGAGTCATTCCTCTCTCGGTGGCTCAGATTTTTCAACATGATCTGCAGCATTTGATTGAAGTTACTTTGGTGGCAATCAACGCTGAACTCAAGCAGATGAAGTTGGGGGCAATTAAAAAATGGCGTGATGCCATGAAGATGGCCACTTCCTCGCTCTCTATCGGCAAGATTGTCTACCAGTACTTGAAAAGGAAGAGACGTATAGTTCCTCCCAATCTCGTTGAGGATGATCTCGGCAACATCATCTATGACCCGCAAATGGCTATGGACCACATTGCAGAGAAATGGGACGGTGTATTTTCTGTGAATGCTTCACACCAGCATGAAATGCAGATACTAAAACAGGTCTGGCCCTACATCCATGATAAAGGTCAGCAAATTGCACTGCCACCTGTTACTGCATTGCAACTGTGGGAACAAGCTTCTCGTCGCCGCCCTGATGCAGCAGCTGGACTGGATGGTTGGGCTACCCGCGAAGTACAGGCTCTTCCACCCTCTGCTCTCAAACCGGCGGCTGATCTTTTCAATGATATTGAAGCAGGGAAATCCGAGTTCCCCACCATTCTTACTCAAGTCAAGATGGTCATTTTCAACAAAGATGGAAGTGATTTGCCATTGTCGAAGAGATTGATTGCCCTCCAGTCCGTTTTCACCCTCTTATACACTGGCCTTCGATTTTTCCAACTGCAGAGTTGGCAGCAAGCGGTGATGCCCATGCAATTGAAGGGAGGGGTTAAGGGTCGCCAGATGGCTGAAGTACACTCCACCCTTCAGATGGAGATCGACCACGCTCACAGCTTCCACGGCTACTTTGCGGCAGTCAAGCTCGACAAGTCAAAGTGTTTCGACCGCCTAATGCCCAAGCTTTGCGCTGCCATTATGCTGACGTTGGGACTGCCGGTTGGATTTGTGCGTGCTTTCATCGCCTTGTTTCCTGGCTTTCAAACAATGGACCAGAGCACAACCAATCTCGACAGCCAATGGGGTTGTACAAGGATGTTCCCTCAGTCTCCTCTGTATCAATCTCCATATGGCAATCTGGACTTGGATTGTTGGACAAATTCCAGGGGTGGATTTTCGTGCTTTTATCGATGACACTTACCTATGGACGAGGGAAGCCAATATTGATAACCTTGTGGCGGCTGTCAAGGCGACGGAATTGTGGGATACGTTGTGTGGCCAATTCCTCAATGCCGGGAAATGTGAACTGTTCGCAACAAATGGAGAGCAGCGAAGAGCCCTTCGCGCTGCTTTTCCCCAGATGAAACTAGTTGAGGTGGTGAACATCCTTGGGGCCTATGTTCAAACAACGAAGAAGAATGTTGGCCAATTCCCATTGCCCACGTTACAAGGTGCCCTTCGCGATTGTGAGGCCATTCGCTCACTCCCTTGCGACAGCTACAAACGAGCTCAGATTCTGGCCACCAAAGTTTTGCCGCAAATTGCATTTGCACCCCAGTTGAACTTCCTACCCAAAAGACAGCTTGCCAAGCTACAGTGTGCCATAGCAGATGCACTGTGGCAGAATCGGCCAATGTAGCGGTCTAAACATCTGTTGTTGTGCATCATCCACAAGGTTCACAAGCTTGATCCTTTTCTCTGCAGGGCAGTAACAACAGTTATTGAATCCGTTCGCTTCCTTCAGTCATCGCAGCATGCAAGACAGACCTGGCAGCTATTGTTCCAGCAAGATCAACTGACAGCGCAATCTTGGTTGACTCAGTTTAGCCAAGCATGTCTGATTCTTGACATCAACTGGACCGCTCCCTTTTGCTTTGCTGTATTTGACTCTGAGGAGGTGAACTTCATGGAGCTTTCCATCTCTGATCTAAAATGCCTGTTGAAGAGTTTTGCTGCCAACAAGTGCTACCACACAGCTTGTGCCATGCCGCGAAAGGACGTCCGTCAAGCAAGTGGCTTCTTAGACCTTCCCATGACTTTGTCAGCGAAAAAGAAGATTGCCAAAGTGCCGAACCTGGGCTTTTCCTTCTTATTTCATTGGGAAAGTGCACTAACAGGTTGCACAGCTACATCCGATAGAACCTTTGCTGCTGGCCTGGTAGACAAACCTAACTGCCGGTTTTGTGATGCACCAAAAGAATCCGTGCATCACTTTGTGAATGAGTGCTCGCAGCTACCGGAGGAACTCAGGCAGCCGTTTTCCACCACAAATTTTGGGCCGAATTTTGAATGCCTTGGTATTGCTGAGATCCCTTTCGAGAGTATTCGAAGCAAGCTGAAAGTCTCCAAGACCTCGGACATCCAGGTAACACCATGGCGAGAACCGGTGGCTAGCGTGGCGCATGTGTGGACTGACGGTTCGGTGCAGCTCAACCATTATCCTTGGCTTTCCCTTGCTGCTTACTCCGTGGTGGCTGAAAATGAGGAAATGATTGCAGTTGGTACTGTGCAACATTGGCGCCTTTCAAGCTACACTGCCGAGCTATGGGCCGTTTTGATTGCCTTTGCCATCGCAGCCCAGCCTCTGATAGTGCATACTGATTCCCTGACCATTGTGCAGCAATTCGCACAGTTACTCCAACAGGATTCTGTGCAAGTGAGCTGGACACACGCTAATTGGTGGGGATTTTTACTCGGCTTGATTCATTCTCGCCGTGGCTTTGTTGCATCTCCGCTGCAGTTATTGTGGCGCCCTGCTCATTTGATAGAGCACATACCAAGTGAGATGATAACTGAGGAGGAGGCCGTCGCTCTTGGCTCTACTCGACAAGACATTCGGCTTAATCGTTTGGCCGATTCCCTCGCCAAGTCATGCATATACAGAACTGCTTTGAACATAAAGACTGACCTCGTTGTGCAAGAACAAGATATTTTTGCAAGGCAGCTCTGGTTATCCAAGTTGAACCGAATCTGTAAGAAACCAGAGGAGGTGGCACCCCCTCGCAATGAAGTTGCGTGTGAGACCTCCACAGGTTTTTCACCTCGCGAGCTGTGTCCCAAATGGTCATGGGACGCTGACATAGCCAATTATCCCTGGACAAATGAGGCTGACATTGAAGTGCCGTTCCGGGAGAACAAAACTATCTCCGAGCATAATTTTCGCCTTTTCCTGCGCTTTTCGAACACGTTATGCTGGCGGTTAGGCGAAAAGAGGGCTTGTTCTGTCTTTGAATTGGCTGTGTTTGCCTTCATACAGGGGTGGCGCTTCAGCCTTCCACCAGGTGTTTTGTCAACACCACAAGCTTACGCTTGCATCATCCGTGCTTCCATTTCGTACTGCAAGAACAAGAACATCGTTGTTGCACCACTGTTACTCGACAAGAGGAACAAGAGCAACGGACGCACCTTTCCGAAAGGAGCCTTCCTAGGTGCCGAAGCATTTCTTGATAACGCCTCCCTTGAAATGCTGTGTAGAGCTTTCATGCGTGGAGCCAAAGAGACTCCACATTCATGGTGCATCCCTTTTGATGCCCTGTTGTAAAAACATAGGGAATACTGACTGCTACAGCGGAAGCTTTGCAGTTGCCGAACGACCCCGTGATGCGGCTTGAGAGCAAAAAAGAAGCTCCCCCAGCGGTCGCACTAATAATTTGGTTCCTAGATCTTGGGGGAAAGTAAACATGCTACTAGGAGCAAAGGGCATCGCTACCAGGAGCAAGAGCCTTACTACTAGGAACAATGATCAAGGCACTTGTTACTAGTAAGGCTTCTTGATTTGTCTTTTGATTTTGACATGCCGAGATCTTCACTTCTGCGTCCGCGTGAACACTTTATCACTATAGAGCCTGGCGACCGCAGCGTCAGGTCAGCAGTACTACATTCCAAAAAAGCTTGTGTTCTTCCAATAAAATCGCCACCAGGGTGGAGGCCAAGTTTGTGTCTTTCAGTAGCTGAGCTCTGGGCTGTTGAGCTCTGATGCGCCAGTTGGCTTCATCTGGAGTATCGGTTTCATAGCGATCTTCGTCCTTTCAGAAGTCATTCTTCTTTCAGCATCAGGAAGCTACTAGGAACAAGTGCATCGCTACTAGTAACAAGCGCCTTACTAGTAGTAACAAGAAGCTAGTAGGAACAAGTGCATCGCTT